GGTTGGAGGGCGGCACGGCGACGGTAAGGTGGCGGTCCGGCGGTGTGGCAAGCGGCGGTGAGCGGCGGTGGCGCTGGCGTGAAGAAGAATGGCCAAGGAAATTCACGGGAGAGAGAGGGAGAGCTCACGGCAATTTTGGGGGAGGTGTTTCACGGCAAAGGAATAGAAAATTGAGGTGAGAAAGATGACATTCTTGACCTAAATAGTAAATTTTGACTAAATGCGGAAATGACCAAAATGCCCTTTACCCTTAAAATATACCCTTTAATAAATCTTAGGGGTATTTTGGTCACTTTCTCCGTTTCTTGTCCAAATCGAATTTTTCCGAAGGAATTGAGCACACCAAAAATTCACACGTGTCACGTGCAACGTCGTCCTAACCTTCCGGCGTGACTTCCTGATTTTCCGGTGTCCAATTTGGGCAAAAATTCCATAATTAAATTCTATTAAACGGAACTCGAGCGTTTCTCGAGCTAACGGGCGGCTTGCTGTCACGCCCCGTACCCTACGAAGCGCTAACATCCCTACCTTGGTCGATTGCAGTGCGACGTCCCAGGAAGCATCGCCGACCCAACGCCCAACAGAGAACAAGCACAAGCGGAAGCGATTAAATAAACAACCCTGACAATTATAAAATACGAGCCAAGGATAGCCAAGCAATAAACACGATCGCAGTAGAAAATAGGTACATACTTACATTGCTATAAAAACCTTTTTACAATATTCGTTTATACAACAACGGCAGTCAACACTCATAATAGCAGCCTCTAGGTCAAAAGGGTAAGTAGCTAGGGGTACTGGATGGGACTAAGACAGGCTTCAGTCAAAAAGGTGTACTCGCTTTACTTAGGAGTATTGCTAACCTAGGGACCCCAGTCCCGGTCGGACCCTGAGAACTCCTCTATCGAGCTCTCCTGGGACTCAGACTCCTCGGAATCCATGTCTTCTGCTGCATCACTCTCGTCCACCGAATCCGGTTCTAACTCAGGGTCTAAGTATAATCCTAGCTCGTCCTCGGCTCCTATTTCTTAATCGGATCCCAGTTCCTCAACCTCTCCATCATGTTCGTGATCTACTTCCATAGCTACCGGCTCTTCTTCATTCTGGTGGTCCAAGGGTTCCAGATCAGCATACAACACTTCAGGTTCCTCAGCCTCCTCGACCATAGCAGCAGGTCCGTCCACGGTTTCGCCCTGGTTGCTCCAATCAGGCGTAGTTGGAGGATCGGAAATCTCACCACTTACCATATGTGGGATCATGACATTATTCACATCTACCGGGACATCAAAGGTCCTGAGCGGGGGTCCGATTGCTCCGTCGGCTCCTCGATAGCACCAAGCCACATATTCTTGGGTGTGGTAGTGCGCCTCTCCCACATTTACAAACAAAACAGCATAATATCTCACATAGGCTGCTCTATCACCACAGGGGTGCACGCTTGACGACCGCTGAATATTGTGCGGTATCCCAAAAAGAGGTGATGCCTTCGACATTCTACGGTTGGGGGTCTGAAATGTTTCGGTTTACACAACCGTGAGACGAATCTCAATGAGTTCAACCCCTAAACCTAGGCTAGGCTAGCATGCAATCTCCTGACCGGAAATAAATATGTGAAACCATAGTGCAACAACAATCAAATAATCCTCCGACCCTACAGGTTGGCAGTTCAATATATAATAATCACGGCACGTACATGACACATATTATCACATGTACGCCAATCACATGCTCATGCACCGAGGCTCACACACTCGCATGCTAGTCCATGCATGTTCATGCATGCAAATGTCGTCGACATGTCACGTGTATTTCCCGGCCCACTGGCCCACACTGGCACACTGGCAATCGCCCAATTTATTATTTATTACGACTCGAGTCATCAATTTTTCACGGCCCGGTGCGTCTAGCCTGCTTCAAAGTGCATGAGGCGCAGCAACCGATCTGGCTCAGTGTCTCTAGCCTGCTTCAAAGTGCATGAGGCGCAACACTGTTCTCCTTGCAAACCAGAACCTGCTTCAAAGTGCATGAGGATGGTCGCCTTCCGGACGTACCGGGCATCGTCCTGCTTCAAAGTGCATGAGGACGGTATCGACCCGAAGGTCCTTAGGTGATCACACCACTCATTATTATCTGAACCCAGCGTATAACGCTTCAGGGTATTTTAGGTGATCACATGCTCATGGCAGACACGCATTCTCACACAATTTCATCACTCTTGGCATACGCAATGCGTGTCCATGTTATGCAATGCAATGCACCACGAGCACCAATATAATTCAGACACTCAATGTCACAACACGTGCTTAATTGGCCCAATTAATACCGTGTGGCCTAACGTGCGATTCACAAATCAATAATTCATTGTAAACCAAACAATGGCCAATCGCACTCCATAAACTCAGCCACACCACATACGACATAGCAGTACGAAATCAACCACAATTAGGCACAATTGACGTACAATCAGTCAACCCGGACATACCCGGTAATTTTCCAACGGGCTCCTAAATTGGTCATTTAATCCAATTAATCTCCCCAAATAATTCTCATTAATCCACTAAATTTCCCAATGATAATTTCTACCAATCCGTCCTCAACCCAGTCTGAAATACCCACTGATACTATCCAAGCCAGTCCAAATTGTACCGATAATAACTAAACCAGTCCAGAAAAACGCACTAACAGTCCTAATCCGGGTTTAGGAATTTTACTCACTTAATCCAAGATCACGACGACGAGGAACGGCGACCGATCACTGATGAACAGTGAAATCGGCGGCGGAATTCCCGGCGGCGCGTACTGTTCACGCGGCACTGTTCACGGTACTGTTCACAGCGTACTGTTCACGCGGTACGGACTTGTACGGCGGTCGGAAACGGTGGCCGGCGAAGTGGCAGTGACGGCACGGCGGGCCGTACGGACGCTACAGTACCGACCATACGGACGGTGACGGTCGGCGTCGTACGGTGAGGCTGGACGGCTGGGTGGCGACGGAACGGCGATCCGAGCTCCGGTGAAGCTCCGGCGAGGCTCCGACGCGGCGGCGGTGCTAAACCGGGAGAGAAAAAGAGAGAAAAAGAGAGGGAAAGAGAGAGGGAAAGGGGTCAGACGGAGGCGAGGCTCAGGCTGGGGGCTGAGGTGGTCGACGGCGAGGCACGGCAGCCGGCGGCGGCGCTCCGGTGGCCGGCGGCGAGCTCCGGCAAGACAAAACCATGAGGGAAAAGAGAGAAAATGGGAGAGAAAGAGCTGGTGGGGGCTGCTGGGGGTGGTTCTGCCGTGAGTGAGGGTGAGAGGAGAGAGAGAGAGTCTTATCTGGTCAAACATGGCAGCCAAGGGGCGCCACGTGTCGCCAATCCGTGAAAAATGACCAAAACGCCCCTAATCTAACGGTTCTAAAGAGATAGGCTTAAATAATTGATGGGCAATTGGGTCTTTGGTGCCAATAATGCAGCTGATAACCATAGTTACTTATCCCAAAAATTTCCCAAAAATTCGGACCTGAAAACGGCCCAGGGGCAAAACCGTCATTTTTCCGGTCCCGGGGCGAAATTTCAATTTTCGCACATACGTGTTCCATATGTGCGTGGCCAACATAATATGGCGTCAGATTCACGAAATTCACTTTCTAAGCCCTCGAAAATCTACTGCGAAGTTTCGGGAATAAAATAATATTATTTTCTAATTTTTTGTCGAAATTCCAATTTTTGGCCATAACGACTCCTGGTATGCGTGGCCACCCAAAAATGGTGTCGGCCTCGAAAAATAACCTCATTTGGCCTCGAAAAGCAACGCTGGCGTCCCGAGGGGCAAAATCGTAATTTTTCACCCCCGGACCGAAATTCCAATTTTTACTCGTACTAACTCCAAACGTGTGTCGCCAGCGTAATACGACGTCAGATTCCCAAAAATAGTCTCTTAAGCCTTTGAAAATCGGCATCGAAATCCGAGCCCAATTCCGTGAACAAAACTCGCTAAACTTTCAATTTCAGGGTCTCTCACTAACGGGCGGCTGTTTAGGATCTACGCGTATCGACCTAGGGTTATTCGACTTACAATGGTCCCGATCATTGAGAGAATGAGAAATCATCACTAGTTCCAGAGGTCGCGATCTTTCGGTTCAGGTTCAGGGCTGGTTGGTCACGTGCACTTTCGGTCTTGCAGAATCACCTGCGATCCGATTGTACATTGTTGGCCATGGCCAAACCAAATCCATCACCTTTCCTAATATCGGCCCACGTTGGCCCAAAATATTCCCTCATCATATCTCGAGATCGGTGTCCCGTTCACTATCGAGTCCCTGGTCCACGTACCGTTTCCTAGTTAGCCATACCCCGTTGGTTAGTATCCCAAGAGTGATCAGCTCCGGGCGAGACTTACCAAAATGAAATGCGAAATATTGTCAATTTTATTGATCCCGGAATTACATCGAAATTCGGGCTGTTACACTTGCTGGGGAAATTCGCAGAATCGACTCATGACTGATACTGAATCGAGTCAAGTGCAAGTCCGTTCGGTGCGTGACGACCTCGGTTGTCATTAAAATCGTGAAGATCAATCACTTGATCCGAGGGGTACGATCGTTCGGTATAATTTCGGAATCATTCGTCACGTCGTTTCGTGGTCCTATGGAATCACCCGCGATCCACTACTAGGATAGTGGCGAACTGACCCCTAACTATCGTTGGATCGGCCAACAGTGGCTCAAAATATCACTTACGCGATTTAATGGTCGAAGTCCATTCACGGTCGAATTTTCTTTAGTCGCGCTAATTTAATTCCCCTATTAGCCTTTCCCTAATGGTTAGCATTCCCAGGAATGATCAGTTCCGGACGAGAATTTACTGCGAGCACATTTCATAAAACTCAGTTATTTCATAATATCCAATTGGCGGAAATTTCGGAATGTCACACTTCCCTACCAATTATTGCTCTGTCGGGTGCAGAAACTTCAGGTTTCTTTCCTCTCCCGATGGCCATTATTTCCTCACTCTGATGCTGCTCTAAATGGAACCCCTATCATTTTTAATCCAATCCAGTTTCTTCCTAAGTTCCTGAATCTTATTAGCCACTTTGAGACGGTGTGCAAGCTGATTTGATTTAGAGAAGAAAACGCGTACCGCTTTCGACTTCTTGTTACCGAAAGTGACCTTTCGCCTCAGATCTTCGGTTGCGACATCGTCGAGCAAGTCCTGTATGTCGTACAGCATGTCCTTGAGCCTGTTTAGCCAGAACTTGACCTGGTTGCTGTGCCATTGCTGCTTCTCGGCATCCAAAAGCACAGCTTGGATGGTCTGGATGGTGTCCTCAAGACTTTGGAGCTCGTCCTTGGTACCGCAGAGCAACTGGATCTTCTGAGAAGCGAATGAGCCTTGTCACACCCCGTACCCTATCTCCCCGAGCCTCGGGCGCGCGACATCCGCGAGGTCATTGAAATGCGACGTCCCAAAAGGCGTCGCCGACCCGTTTCTTTTATCTTTCGATTAAGCACATGCAGAAGCATACTTGAACATCACCCAATCAACGACAACAAATGGATAGTAAGAAAAACACGTAGACAAAACACATTTCATATATAAGCATCATTAACAATCGGAAGTTAGCTAATTACAAGCCCACAAAGGGTCAAGATTAGTCCTAACTCCTCTATCTATGAGGGCGACTTCTAAAAAGTGGTTCCCCACGGGAGGCCGATTCTCTATAGTTCAGGCTCGGGATCATAGTCCAGGTCGCTCACGACGCCATTGAGAGGGTTCCCCACCATGGGATCCATTAGGGCTCCGCCAATGTCACCCGGGGGTCCGTCGAACCCACGAAAAGGACCGAAGAGATCCCTATTGAACCATACGAACCAGGCCACAAAACGAGAAGAAACCAAGTGCCCTAGGCCCTCATCGACCCATATTGTGGTGGTGTACTTATGATAGGTAATATCACTCCCCGCTACCACGACTTCAGTAACGTCCACTTCCTTGGTTACGGAGTACCCAAAACGGACGATACAGCTATACATACCTACAAGCTTGAAAAGAAGTGAACAATAATAAATGAGTAAAACTTAATAAGTAAATCGCCTAATCCTCGTATCAGAGGATGCCTCGCATCGAAAACACGAAAAACTTGGAGATCAAAATGTCGATGGCAGATCAATAGCAAAGCCCTTGCTTTGCCTTATCTATAAACATGAAAGAGGACCTCGAGCACCTACAATGCACATAATAACCAAAAGTCCAATTCATGTCACATAAGTCGTGCACAATCGCATTCACAACATCTCACGTGTGTTCCAGTTATTATGATCGCAAGCGGTCCGATCGCAATCGACCAAGACCAAACCCTCGTCAGTGGTCTTTCGGTGTAACTAGGCATCGTCCCGCCCAGTCGAGCACAGCAACGTCTCGAACTCACTCGACAACGAGATCCAATCAAGGGCTTCGTTCTGAAATTCATCCGCGAACGGCATCCAAAATCCATCGGTGATGGGTTCTCTTATGTGATCATACGCACAAACAATCACTCATACTGGTTCTTATCTCTGCTTCAAGCACATGCAAGAGCCTCAAAGGCGTGCAATAAGTGTATATTATGACTTACCGGAACCGAGTCGATAGAGAAATGCCGAACAACTCGGAGTATGATTTCAAGCATCCACAATCACATATAACCAACAACACTTCATTATAAATTAATATTTGCAAGACAATTACTAAAATCACTCATCAATTGGTTCCAAGCAACATTCTACAGACACATAACTCAACCATAACGATATCTTGCAAAAATAGACATGCACATGGTAAAACATAATCAAATAACAACAGTCTCTCCAAATCTGACAATCATGTGGCCATATTAGACTTTTCTTATAACTAGTCATACATGCTACAAGGATATACTAATTCTCGAACTTCGAAACCCAAGCAAATCATGAGTAAACCATACAAAATTCATACACGAGCTTCCTCTTCCTAAACAAGCGAGATCAATCATGAAAATCACAGAACCGGAACTTACCCTACATCCAAATTACGCAACATAACGCCCTATCCAAGGGTTAGGGGATCTACTCACAAAACCGGGGTGAGATCTACGGACGACAACAAACGGCGGACGAACGGCGAGTGGCGATGGCATGGACGGCGAGCAACCGAGAGGGAGGGTGAGTGAGAGAGAGAGAATGAGAGAAATTAGAGAAATCATAGAGAAAAAGGGAAGGCTTCCTTGAGTTTGAGAGAGAGCAATAATGCAATTGCATTTATGAACTCTACTATCTACCCTAGCCTAAGTCTTCCTTAATTTGCTCCCATCCAAGCAAATACAAGGCCAAGAGGCCATCTTGAATTCTTCTCCATCAAGTCTCACACTAGGCTTGCATGGCTACCAATATAGGCACATGCATTTAGTTGGGAACTAACCAAGAGAACCAAACAAGAAGCTAGCTAGGTTGTTTTCGTCCTCAAAGCAAGACCAACTTTGGTCTCTTCCCAATCAAAGCTTCTAGAAGGTGCATTAAAGGCTAAACTGTAGGTTACTATTCATTAAACACTATTAATGCACATGGCACATTAATGTACAATCTTCCAAAAATCACCAAATGGTCAAATGTGGGCAAGATGGGCTTTTCTCTCTTGACGGGCGCTTAACAAGGCCGAACAAGTCCACTAGACTTGTTTTGGGCGTGGGCCTTCGTTGGGCTTCCAATGCTTGGCTCGTGTTCACTTGTCTGAAGATTAACGGTCCAATAATGCTTAATTAAGTCGTCAAAAAAGGTTGTCTCTTAATTATCTATAAACCGATACTCGTAACTAGACCGAGTTCTATGGTTAAATTCACTTGGAAGAGCCTCTGACGTTGCTTGTACAAATGGGAGACTTTCAGGGATTAAGGGCGACTCGTGGTTGATCCGAAATCGATCCACATTTAAGCTTGTTCGACTCACGGTCTATCCCTGCTATCAATGCTTCAGTACTTTAAACCATTTCCCACGTCTCAAACAGGGGTCGGATTGAGGATGTCACAAGCCTCCAGGTTTCGCCATTTCGGCAGCTAGGCTTTTCAGTATGTCAGTGGCAAGGCTGAAGAGAACTGCTTCCACCATTTCCAAAGGCAAAAGCTGGGGTTGAGGAGTGTTTGAGAGGAGGTTGCAGAGCTGATGTTTTTGTTTGGAGACAATGGTTTGGCGGTGCCTCTTGATCAACTTCAGGCACGAATATATAGCAAGACCAACGGCATCTCGATGTTACTTCATGTTCAGTTACTCCACCAGATGAAATAGCATAACTTGCAATAGAGAAAAGAATAGCGTGAATAACTTGTTCCTTTGTGAAAAGCCCAAAGTACATATTAAATTGAATAATTTTGAAGCACTGAATCCACCCCTCTATTGCCATCATCCCCACCTTTGATGATTAGAATGACAGAACTACCAAAATCATGGGTCCCCCGTTTCTCTCTCAGTTTTGTCTGATCAGAAAACTCAGATTCAAGCTCCACGGCTTCCTTAATCCTTAAGCCTCTCTTGGTTCCAAGTTCACATTTCGTCTCTCTCTCTCTCTCTCCACCGGAAAAAATGCATGGCCTGCCTCAGACGGCTCCGAAGCCAGAAGATGCAGCTGCATCAGCCGCCAAAGCCCAGAAGCAAACAGCTCTTCAATCCCGGTTTCTCCCTAATCACCACAACCAAATGCGCTCTCTCTCTCTCTCTCTCTCTCTCTCTCTCTCTCTCTCTCTCTCTCTCTCTCTCTCTCTCTCTCTCTGTGAAAAGATCAAAATCGTCGTATAAACTGAACGACTTCTTTTGATCAGGTGTTTTAGTGATGCAATGTTGCTCTCAGATACATGTAGGAGGCTCTTGACACGAGCGCGAAGCTCCTGGAGATCAATCCCGAGTACTACACCACTTGGAATTACAGGAAACTCGCAGTTGAGCACAATTCTCTCCCCGCCGCCGCTCGTGTGTGTGCCTCTGTCCTCGTCCGCCGCGCCTCGCCACCTCAAGCTCCCATCCCGCCCCACTGTGATAACTCGGATGAGTTTGGAGACGAAAAGCTAGATATGGAGATGCGAGATCTGACGCGGTGGATGCGGCTACGGCTGGGGAGTTGCATCGAACAACATCTGGGCATGGTGGTAAGTTGAGAGTGAAGACGCCGAGCCACATGACGAGGATGATGCTGTGCCGACGCTCGGCCCAATTATTCGTGGCGGTAACAGTGGACCACGTCAAGTTGTATATTTATTCAACTTTGCACACTAGATTACAGGATTCTGGCCAAAAAAGGAGGGAAAAAAAGTAAGATTACAGGACTGTTGGCTCTTAAAAATGGCCGATAAAATCAGCAACGGGATTAATGTTGGGATAAATCTTTTACTTCAACATAATGAAATGTTGTTCTAATCTCTGTACGGTGGATGCTTGCTTTGACTTTTTTATGTGAACGATATGAAACGTTTTTTCTTTGGGTACTTGTCGTTGTGCTAATAGTATCCAAATGAATGTTCAAGGGTTTTCCCTATGTGGTTTTTTATTTGGAAGATTTTGTTGATTGTCCACGCTGCTTTGTTTGTAAATGGCTCCAGTGAAGAGGAAGCAAAGAAGATCTACAACTTCTGCTTTAAGAGATGCTTTGGTTTTGGGTGTGAGATTGAAGAGGAGACGTCCTACAAACTCCAGGTTGCTTCATTTGTTCCTTTTCATTTCTCTTTGTTAAGAAGTCCGACTCTAGAAATTTAAGCTTATAGGTATGTATATAAAGAGCCCATAAGACCCGTTGTTAAGCGACGAATGATATTTCAACACATTCTCTCACGTGCAAGCCGAAGTAGGGGTGGCGTGGGTAATTTGATTAATGAGGGTGGACACACGCACGAAAGGTATGACACCTAACTCGGTTACCATGGTAGAAAATTCAACCTAAAAACTCACTCTTATTGTCTTTCTAATTTGTGTTATATATTTTTGGGAAAATTCCAAATAAACGGTTGAAGCGATGTCAAAAAAATGCCTAAAGTGAATTTTGCTTCAAATATGGGCTTGAAGTAGCCAAATCAGTCTCAAACAACTCGCCGGCCAGCCAAATATTCGCCGGCGAACATTTTTTGGCGACTAGAACAAGGGTAATTTTGTCCTAAACTCTTCCTTTTTCTTTCAATAGGCAAATCTCTTCCTTCCAAGTGTATACATTCCTATTGCCGTTTTTTAAAGAATTAGGAGATATGCCTTGCATGTCCAAATATATGGTTTCACCTTGCCATACATCCTACTACTACGGAGATATTCCTTTATTCAGCCCATAATGTCTCTTTTCCCTTGTTAAGTTGTTCCCTTTCTTTGACCGATAATTTCTCCCTTGATATATATTTTGTGAATCCTTGCTCCTTAAGTTATTCTCTTAATTTTGGAATCACATGTGCCTTGCACATGTGAAATTTGACCAAGCAAGAGAGATAAATGGGTTAGCCAATTTCATTGGGACTTAGCTCATGTGAGCTCAGTCAATAAAGACCAGGGTCTCTATCCTTGAACCCCATGCATCATTTTTATAACCGGACCGACTTAAATGCAATTTATGAGCAAATTATGTTAGTGGTATTTTTGTTTAGGGTTAGGATCGGTTCCTAATTTTCTTATGCAACATGAAATATGGTAGCCGGAATTTAGATGTCAACAACTACTTTTCTATGTTAGATTAACATGCTATGTTTACATTTTAGATTTGCATAGTTAGGGGGCTGTTGAATAAAATTCCATGGTTAGATTTATTAGGTATTTTTCACTTAGGAAGTTGCATCTTGAATATCTAACACTTAGAAAAAGGCATATTTGCATATAGTGTTTTATTCGAATAGGATTTCACATTGCTTTTGCATCATAATAATTGACATTATAGGGGACTAAGATTTTTTCGTGAACAAGTGTTCTCCTACATATTTAAGTTGTTTGGATTGCATTATTATTTGACTGTCCTATTTGCATTTTTACTTCCGTAATTTGAATGTCATTGGAATGGAAAGTAAAAAGATAAACACCTCTCGTGTTAGTAACTTTAGATTTATTCAATAAAATTCACGTAGAAATATCTCTAGGATTGCATTTGTATTTAGGGTGCATCGTTTAGATTAGATTTACTTTCCTCTTCCGCACAGATCGCCTTAGGAAAATATTTTGCATGAGTTATCAAAAATATATATCACATACTAGACTTAGGATTACATTTCATGTAGTGTAAGTTAAATTACTTGGTTAAAAATTTTATTTCCATGTTTAGTGACACGTTTTAGGAAATTTATTTATTTTGGACGTTGTTCTTGTATAGCATGTGATAATTATGTCCTTTTTATACATTTGACTACTTAGGGAACAAGCATAGACTTTCTATTTTTTGATCACGCGTCCTGTCCTGGAGCATAACGACGAGGCTATGTTTACTTATTGTCCAAGACAGCTCGGGTTGATTTCCTTATCTTTATATTGCACGGTACGGCTCGGGCTGTCTTTTTATTAATTGATTTTCTTATATGCTTATTACCATTTTTGTGAACATTCAGCATACACGAATTTTGACTAGGGCATACCCATTTACTCAAAATCACGAGTAGAAAAATCCAAAAAAAAAAATTTGATACGAGAGGTGTAAGTCGAGCCATTCCGCAAACTCCGAGAGCCGAACCGATCCTGTTTTATTCATGAGATTTTGTTGGAAAATAAATGCATCACTCATTATTACTTACTAGATCTTGGGCATATTCATGCACAACTCGCGGTGGTCCTGTCCCAGGGCATGTTCACAAGGTCTTGTATCAACTTTGCTTGATACGGCTCGGGTTGTTTTCTTTTCATACCTTTATTTATCTTTATTACTAATTGTTTCATTTTATTGCTTGCCTGCGTATTCATGGCCATATAGATTTCCGTGCTTAGGAATAAAAATCCGAAAAGATTGCATGCAATAATGTTTTATTTTAAGAGAAAAGGTACCGTAACGGGCATTAGGCAAAACTAGCGTAACCAAATCGTCGCACCCGAAATCTCTTGTTCGCAAAAGTAATGTAGGCTCCACGGGCTCCACGCCGTACTCGGCTCCTAGCTAGCTTAGATTCAGTGGCGTCTCTAATTCAAATTTGATGAATCATGAATGAGAGATCAAGTTGTGGTCAATAGTGCTTAAGAGAGTCCATGTGAAGCGTAAGCGCTACCTCGCAAGAGGGTTATATGCGCTCGCCTAGCAATCCGTTAAACTCTCTCGGGATTCACTTGAGAGGGTCATGACAATCTTATTGCCCACTTTAAAGCTCTGCACGAGTCGTGATTCATTGCCGTGTTGTCACCGGTCGTGGTTCTTTGCCCAGCTCTCAAATGGAAATTTCACTGGAGGCATGAATAAATTTTCACGGGACTGATTGAATAAAGGCACAATGAACTGCGATCACAATATATTGTACAAAACCAACTCCAAAAAATGAGCAAAAACAATAAAAGATGAAATTTAAGATAAGGAATATACGAATGCACCAAAATATATCGAAACACAAAAAAGTTACAGGGATATCATCGAGCAAGTCCTCTACTTCGTACGACACTCTTCAGCCTCCTCAGCCAACGCTCTTCCGCAGCTCAATTACATGACAGAAGACGAGCCACCGCTGCCATTTTCAAGGGGCAGAAGTTAAACATTGCGCTATACGGACGGGTATAAAACATAAATTTTTTTATCGGTACTATTGAAATTAAGCCTGAAAATAATGTTATACGAGTCTAACATTAATTGCATTACAAACCAGTCAGTAAAACTTGCATATAAAAACATACCTATCTTGTTTGTAATTTTTTTATAAAAATATCGCGTATGACAATTGATTTTATTTTTACCTCGTGCTATCTAATGTAATACTAAAACAATATTAAAATTGTTTATATGAATACGAGAAGATGTAATTATAATTGCAACGTCCGCAATTACATATTATAATTGACATGTCGCATATTTATTTGGCTAACAAAAACATATAAAATGAGTAAAAAATTAATTATATTTACCTAAATACAATACAATATGTGTTTTTTTTGTAAGGAATACAATATGTGTTTTATACACGTATAATTCGTTTTACTCCAAACTAACGAGTATTTTTTCTTAAGTTCAGAAAACGTGCGCAAGACAATATATTTTACAAAGCCAACTCCGAAAAGGTGCAAAACTACCAAAAGTGAAATTTGTGAGGAGGAATATACGGTTGCTTTAAAATATGTTCTCCTGCAAATAAAAGTTCCAAAACCAAAACAGAAAGATACAAGTAACTAACGTCGTAGGAGTTTCTTTTCTTCCAAGGCGCAAGATCCTTATTTTAGTTCTCTTCTTCTCTGTGAGCACGCGCAATTCAAATAAAAAATCCACTACTTTTTTTTTTTTTTTCAGAATAACGATATTCATTCATATCTCAAGTCGTAGCTTGCGAGTACACCAGCAAAGCATCAACACAAAGTAGACTCCAAAGATCGGGAGGGGGGTAGAGGGTCCAATTCTATGGCAGAAAATCCGCTACTTTCACATGACCCCAAATGCTTCCGCCTGGTGGTGACGGGCTTTAATATTTTAATTTTGCACAAAACTACTTGAAATTGAGAGGATGGTGTCTAGACTTACCATTAGCTGGACATTTCCGATGACTCTAACTTTCTCCCAGTAGTTGGTGACGTAGACAATCCCTTCAGGAAAACTCCTTAAACTCTTGCAGCCAATAATTTCAAGCAATTCGAGCGAAGAGAAATTACCAATCCACCCGGGCAAACTCATTAGATTCTCACAGCATTCAATCCGAAGAAATTGCAAAGTAGTGACATGTTGAATCCCCTCCGGTAATGTCACTAGTTTCGGAAGTTGTCTGAATCTAAAAACGCGGAGTTTCACGAGAGATCGCCACTGGGTCTACATTATGTATCTATAGCATCGAAACAAAAAAAATGAATTATCCAATGGCATTGATTGCACGAGAATACAGTATGCGCCCAATTTTTGCTTTCACACCCACTATATGTTTAAAGAATTTCATAACCGTGGAGTTTCTCACCTTAAACTGCATCCTTCATCATTTTTCTGACACCCTTCGCACCAATAGCCAGATCCAATAGCTTCTGTCACTTTCTTTTTACATGTTTTGCATGCACGATACCACATCGCTTGATCAGGCTTAATGAAACTCACATAGGCTCTGACGCTGAAGAATGCAGGCTGTGCCAAACAAATCGATCAAGTTAAAACCAGAGAAACAGGGTGGGTTAGCTTCGAGTCAACTAAATGCTACATGTTTACCACTTACATCTTCATCTGTCACAGCCTGTATTCTTCAGCGTCAGAGCCTATGAGTTTCATTAAGCCTGATCAAACGATGTGGTATCGTGCATGCAAAACATGTAAAAAGAAAGTGACAGAAGCTATTGGATCTGGCTATTGGTGCGAAGGGTGTCAGAAAAATGATGAAGGATGCAGTTTAAGGTGAGAAACTCCACGGTTATGAAATTCTTTAAACATATAGTGGGTGTGAAAGCAAAAATTGGGCGCATACTTTATTATCGTGCAATCAATGCCATTGGATAATTCATTTTTTTTGTTTCGATGCTATAGATACATACTGTATTCACCGGAAGTAAAGTCTCGAGCATTGAGTGCTCCAAATCACCACCAGCAAAATGTAGACCCTTTAATTTAGAGAGAGGGATGAAGGTGGATTCCACTGGTGCTTTTGATGGACAATCTAGAACGGCCATCACTTGTTCCAACAACTCCGCGCTGGCAATGTTCAAGTATTCTATCAAGGGGAACAGTGGCACTGAATTTAGGTGTGGACAACCCAATATTGCTGCAGACAAAAGTTTTGGGAAGGATGATTGTGGATTGTACCGTGCACGATCCTGATCTGCTCCCACCATTTGCCGTCTTCCCCACCATCCTTTTAGGTTGGGACAGTCGAGGAGGGATAGTCTCTCCAGAGATGGGAAGAAGGGGCCGCCTAGTATTCGAATGCTCTGGGTAACTTATTTCTTGAAGGAACTCCAACGCATCCAAGCCCATGAGATTCAACGTCCTTAGGGAAGGGAATTCACTTAGGGATGGTAGGTGGCTTAGTGAGTCACATCCATTAATTAAGAGGTGTCTCAGGTTGACCAATTTCTTCAAATCTCTCGGAAGTGTTTTCAGATTCTTGCAATTGGAGAGTTTAAGGGTATGTAAGTTCACCAAATCTATGATTGAATTTGGCATACTCTCCATAGATTGGTTTTCAGAAATATCAAGAAATCTTAAGTGCTTTGACCGACTTCCCAAGGAAGTAGGGATACCAAAATGCGCATAGCCCAAGACCAACACTCGACAATGCCTAAACTTGGAGAGAATCCCATTCTGTACAAATGTTTTGCTCTCTTTCAAAGCTAGAAATGTTCGTAGATTGTTCGGTTCAAGAATAGAGGTCACATCTTGTGGTGAGGATGATTGTGAAACAAATGATGCATGTCGAATTCCTTCACAGATGCCACCTTCATTGAGATTAACCATCTTGCACTCATCTCCTGCAACTCTCAAGGCAAGATCGTGAATGGGATCATGCATCTTGAACATTTTCACCTCACCAGTGTAATCATCGACCGTTTCAAATTCGAGGAAGGACCTATCCAGTAGATCCGAGACATAACTATCCCCAGTCTCTTCTAGGTCCTCGTTCCCCTCCAATGACTCAATGAAGCCTTGTGCCATCCAGAGTTGTATCATTGTCTGTTTATCAAAAACATAATCTTTTGGAAACAACGCGCAATATGCAAAACCATGTTTTAAATGCAACGGAAGATGATCGTAACTAAGCTTGAGGACTTCCATAATTTCGTGTTCCGACTTATCTATTTTTGAAAGTTCATGCTCTTTGAATTTGAGCCACTCTTTTTCATTTTTGGCGTATAGAAGGCTACCCATTGTTTTGATGGCAAGGGGAACACCAGCGCATTTTTTAACTATATCTCGACCTATCTCCTCCAATTTCGAGTCTAATGATTCTTCCCCATCTCCAAAAGCCAATTTCTTGAATAATTCCCATGACTTATCTTCATATAAGCCATGTAGATCATGGATAACTGAATTCGCATCCGTAGCTTGCACAACCGACTGATTGCGCGTGGTTATGAGTATCTTGCTTCCCCTTGAACCGCCCATTAGCAAAGGTCGGAGTTCCAACCATCTCTGGCGATCATCATTCCACAGGTCATCCAAAACAAGCAAGTATTTCTTCCTGTCTAATACCTTACGAAGGAGCCTCCGCAACTGGTCCTTAGATATATTCTCAATGCCTTCCAGATTTCTATTCATCTCAGGATCCTCTTGACATTGATATTTGGCAGATTTCAGTATTTCTTTGATGATCAAATCCACATCAAAGATTTTAGGATCCCCATGACACACCCGCATCTTAAGCTTGAAACATTCTTTCACGTTTTCATCGTTGTGTACCAGATCAGCAAGCGTGGTTTTTCCCAGTCCTCCTATACTGACGATGGAAACAACCGACACACTCTCTCTGGAGGAGGAATGAAGCAAATGTGCGATGATCTCCTTCTTATCCTCTTCTCTACCAATGATTTCTTCCTCGCACGCAAAAGAGTGAGTTGTCCTCCTCACGATAGAAAGAGTTTCCTCGCTCAGATGCCGCTCTAAGTTTAACTCCTGATCATTTTTAATCTGATCCAGTTTCTTCCTAAGTTCTTGAATCTTATTAGCCACTTTAAAACGGTATGCAAGCTGATTTGATTTAGAGAAGAAAACGCATACGGCTTTTGACATCTTGTTGCCGGAAGTGACCTTCCACCTCAGATCTTCAGTTGCGACATCGTCGAGCAAGTCCTGTAACTCGCACAGCACGTCGTTGAGCCTCTTGAGCCGGAGCTTGAGCTCGTTGTTGTGCCATTGCTGTTTCTCAGCATCCAAAAGCACAGCTTGGATGGTCTGGACGGTGCCCTCAAGGCTTTGGAGCTCGTCCTTGGCACTGCAGAGCAACTGGATCTTCTGAGAAGCGAAGGAGCCTCCAGGTTTCGCCATTTCGGTGGCGAGGCTTTTCAATATGTCGGGTGACGCGGCGGAATATATCATTGAGCAATAATTTCATATGTTGTTGTATAATCGGATGACGCGGCGGAAGCGGATCATAAGCTTTGTAATTAAATCGAGAGCCGTAAAAATAATAGAGAAATAAAACGAGAAACAATAAAAGAACACAAGAAATTTACGTAGTTCTGTCCGAATGTCGAAATTTACTTTCACGGAGAGAATCAGTAAATAATTCATTAATAATTCGGAGAATTACAGAGTTACGAATGAAGACAAATGAAGCCCACAATTTATTACTTTGGCCTATTCTTCTTGCGACTACTTTGAAGGAGCTTTCATATATGGTCAAAGAAGAAAATAGCTTGTGAGTCCTTCATTAAATGCTGCACGTTGGCCATGGAAAGAGCGGGGATAATTCTTTCGTCAGAACATGCGCCGTTTCTCATTAAATGCTCCGCGGACGTGCTTCCTCATTTCAGTGTACTGATAAATGATGCACATGCTAATCGGGTATTGTGTATTGGCTTAAACTCGAGATATAATTTGACAATTCTCTACCTTGACTTAATGTTTGTAGCCAAATTATAGTGCTTATTATCCATGCAGGCTCTCCCGACGCCCCGACGGGCGCTTACTCTCTGCAGACACGTATCGAGCTCAAACAGAGCTCGAGCTTCGCCAAAGGAACGGGTTTCGTCATCATGTCTGCCGGGTTCTCAGCTGTTGCTATTTTATTCACAACAATCTTGCCCTTCGCTATGATATCTCAAATAAAATGGTACATGATGTCAATATACTTCATTCGCTCGTGATATATCGGATTATAAGCCAGATATATCGCACCTTGATTGTCACAATGTATAGTGACACTTTTCTGCTCCAGTCCAAGGTCCGAGAGCAAACCTCTTAGCCATATCACTTCTTTCGCTACAAAGGTTAGTGCCATGTAGTCATGGCCACAGGCCGGTTTTGGCCCGGAACTGGCCCGTGGCCTACGGGCCCGGTTTAGGTTCCAATAATTTTGGAACTGGCCCGGAACCGCCGGTTCCGGGCCCGGTTCCAAAAAAAAAAAAAAAAACCTTCTGCTGCACAGCACAGCAGCCCCACCCCCACGTTCCCACCCCCAGGCCCCACCTCCAGTCCTCCTCCTCCAAATCCCTCCTTCCCCCCTCCCTCTCCCCTGCGCCTCCGGTCTTCCCCTTTTCTCCTCCGCCCGCCCCCCCCCCCCCCGGTCTTCCCAGATCTGACCCCCGCCGCCGTCGCCCCCGCCCATGGCCGCAACCGCCGACGCCAATGCCCCCTCCTCCTCCCCCCTCGCTACCCTGCGCCTCCTTCCCTTTTCTCCTCCGCCCTCCCCCCGTCTCCCCAGATCTGACCGCCGCCGCCGCCCATGGCCGCAGCTGCCGACGCCGATTCCCCCTCCTCCTCCCCTCCCCACGACCCCGTCCCCATCCCCGTCCCCCTCCCGGCCCCCTCCTTCTCCCCCTCGCCGCCGCCCTAGTCTCCCGCTTCATCTCCTCGCCGCCTTGAACCCCGCCTCCGCCACTGTGGCCAAGGCCGCAAAGCTCGAGCGACGACCGACGGAGGAACAGCGACCAGGTCTGCAATTTTTATTTTATAATTTATTTTATTAATTTTTAAATTATGAACCGGAACCGCCCCTTGTGGTTCCGGTTCCGATTCCGGTTCATACATGGCCACTAAAAGCAACACCGGCGGTTCCTGAACCGTGGCCATGACTAGTGCCATGTACTCTACCTCTGTTGAAGATAAGGCAACATTGTCCTGTAAGGATGCTTTCCAACTTACTGCACCACCTGCTAGTATAAATACATACCCCTCTAATGATCTGCGGTAATCCAAGTTATCAGCATGATCGGAATCCACATACCCTATGATCTCACTGCCATTGCCGTCCCTTAGGTACACAATATCAACGTCTGATGTCCCTTTAAATATCCGAGGATCCATTTCTTAGCTTCCCAATGTGCCTTACCTGGGTGCGTCATGTATCGGCGGACAACACTTACAGCTTGTGAAATGTCAGGCCTAGTGCATACCATGGCATACATGATAGTACCCACTGCACTAGAATAAGGAACACAGGACATATGCTCCTCCCCCTACTTAGTCTGTGGTGATAACTTGTCATAAAGTTTAAAGTGTGCGGCTAAAGGAGTACTTACAGATTTTGCTGACTGCATGTTAAAGCGTGCCACAATCTTCTCAATATATTTCTTTTGAGATAAACGCAACGTTCCTGCAGTCCTGGCATGCAAAATCTTCATACCCAATATTTTCTTAGCAGCACCTAAATCTTTCATCTCAAACTCAGCACTCAACTGCCGCTTTAGCACATCAATATCAGACATATGTTTAGTTGCGATTAACATGTTATCAATATATAAAAATAGGCAAATCAAAGACCCATTCTCTGGTCTTCTAAAATAAACACAACTATCAAATTGACTTTCGAATAGTCTTGACTAGCCATGAAAGTATCAAAACGCTTGTACCGCTGTCTAGGAGATTGTTTTAGCCCATACAAAGATTTCTTTAATAAGCAAACATGGTCTTCCTTACTTGGAATAGCAAATCCCTCTGGCTGCCTCATGTAAATTCGTTTTTCCAACTCACCATGAAGAAACGTTATTTTCACATCTAGCTACTCCAGCTCGAGATCTTATGTAGCAACTAAGGCAAGTAATACACGAATCAAAGCATGTCTTACAATAGGAGAGAACACCTCGTTGTAGTCGATGCCTTCTCGCTGAGTATACCCCTTCGCAACAAGTCTCGCCTTGTATCTTGCTACCTCAACACCGGGAATGCCTTCCTTCCGCTTGCAGACCCATTTGCACTTGACAATCTTCTGGCTTTTGGGTACTTTGACCAGCTCTCATGTCTGATTCTAATAGAGCGATTCTATCTCTTCACTCATAGCCTCTAGCCACTGCGACGACTCAGTACTAGCCATTGCTTCAGAGTAGGATGAAGGCTCATCTACCTCTACCTCACCACCTACAGTCAATGCATAGGCAATATCAGAATAACCATAACGTACCGGTGGTTTGATTTACCTTCTTTGTCTGTCTGTGGCTATATGGTGCTGCGGTTCTACTGGTTGTTCAGTATCACCGTTTTCAGGAACTGTGGCCTCATTTGCAGTCTCTTCCTCTATTATCTCTAAGGTCTCCGGAGGCTCCACTTGAAGCTCCACCTCACTACTAACACCATGATCCGTTTGCTCTACTGGTTGAGTCTCAAAGCTCCTCTTTTGAAGCATTGCAGTCTCGTCGAAGATTACGTCTCTGCTGATTAGAAAATCTGGTGATTTGGGATCAGTGCACCACAGCCTGTAGCCTTTCACCCCTTGTGCATAACCCAGAAATATGCACTTCTTATCCCTCGGCTCAAGTTTACCATCACTCGCATGAGCATGAGCAGGACATCCGAATATCCGTAATCCGGAGTAATCAATAGGTTTTCCCGACCATACTTCCTCAGGAGTCTTCCACTCGATAGCAGATGATAGAGATCGATTAACCAGGTAACAAGCCGTATTCACTGCTTCGGCCCAAAATTCCTTTCCCAATTTTGCATGCGAAAGCATGCACCTAGCTCGCTCAAGTAGAATTCTTTTCTTCTGTTCTGCAACGCCATTCTGCTATGGTGTCCCGGGAACTGTGCGTTGTCTCATAATCCCTTCCTTTTTGCAGAACTCAGTAAAATCCTTGCCACAGAATTCCATGCCATTATCAGTTCTCAGGCACTTGATTTGTTTACCTGACTGCTTCTCAATTAATGCCTTAAAATTCTTGAACCGATCAAACACCTCGAATTTGTGCTTCAGGAAGTATACTCATACCTTCCTCGAATAGTCATCGATAAATGTTAGCATATATCGGGCACCTTCTTTCGAAGGAACTAGAGATGGCACCTAGACATCTGAGTGAATGTATTCGACCGATTGCTTGGTCGAATGTATAGTTGTACCGAATTTAACATGGCGCTGCTTCCCGAAGATGCAGTGCTCACACAGGTCCAGCTTCCCTGTCTTCTGACCTTTCAGCAACCCCCTTTCACTCAGTATTGTCATTTTAGCCTCACTCATGTACCCCAATCGCATATGCCAAAACTGAGTCAAGTTTGAGTCTAACTCACCTAATGAAATTGCAACAGCTCCAGTCACGGTCTCTCCTAATAGATGATAGAGAGAATTCACTTTCTTTCTTTTCATCACTGTCATAGCACCTCGAGAGATTTTCAGTACTCCACCTTCAGCGGTATACCAGCACCCGATGTCATCGAGTGTCCCTAGAGAAATAAGGTTTTTCTTAAGATCCGGTACATGCCTCACGTCTGTTAGTGTCCGCTCTATACCATCGTGCATCCAGATCCGAATTGTCCCTATCCCCACAACTTTGCAGGCTGCATTATTCCCCATGAGAACTCTACCACCATCTGCAGTCTGGTAGGTAGTGAACCAATTCCTATGAGGAGTCATGTGATAGGAACATCCAGAATCTAGCACCCATTCGTCTCCTTATGAACTCGTAGACACGCATAGGACGGCCTCGGCATCCCTGGCACTCTTCTCGACAACATTCGCCACATTGTTTGTGGCATTTTACCCACCGCCTTTATTTCTCAGCTTCAGACAATTTCTCTGTATGTGCCCGTCCTCGTGACATTCAAAGCACTTCACCCAACCTTTGGATTTTCTATGTCGCGACTTCGACCTGCTTTTGCCTCTACTGCTGCTAGGCCCCCGATGTTGGTCTCTACCTTGAACCACCAGTCCTTGCGCTACATCTTGCGCTAGACTGTCATCTCGCAACTTTCTTTGCCACTCCTTTAAGAACAAGGCGGATTTTACGTCTTCTGAGGTAATCGTGGTACGCCCCTATAACAAGGAGTCAGTAAAGTGCTCCTATGACTCTGGTAGAGATGCCAACAACATCATGCCTTGTTCTTCATCGTCTAAAATCTTACCGACATTCTTAAA